GCATATTGTCACTGTCTTGAACACTATGAAATACAATACAATACAATACTTTATTTGGACATGATACATAGTTGTACAAGGAATTATAGTTGGGTGTATATGCCTAAAGCCCCTTGTATGCAGAGCATTATGGGCAGGCATAAATTGGCTTTAATTGTCCACTTATTGAGGAATACAGAGACAGACAGTATAACCTATGTGACATGTCAAGATATCTTATTAATGAAAATAATATACCAGATATACTAAGCAAATTTCCCAAATTTGCATGTAACAAATAAGTGAACTCTAGATGTGTAGATAAATAAAAACTCATATGTACACCTGTTAACAGTTGTGACCGGGTGTGGAAGTGTGAATTGCTCATTACACTGTAATTTGTTCATGATTGTAGCCATGTATAAACGTAAGTAACCATTCTTACAGGATTCATTACTTTTGTAAATTGTGAGTTCATTACCTTTGTAAATTGTGAGTTCATTACCTCTGTAACTTGCTCAGCTATCAAAAGTTTGGAGTCCAGTCCCTGGACCAATTATGTACCTCTGTAATCTTTTGACTACCGCCCACGGGATGGGTATGGGGTGCATAATAAACATATTAAACTAACTAAACACCTGTTAACCCTTATGGGACCTAATTCCTAGGCCTTTTGTGTATCCATATGCTCTTGCGCTATCGTCCACAGGATGTATATGGGGTGCACAATAAACTAGCCACTTCGGTGGCAAAAATCTAAAAAAAAATCTAAAATCCCACGGGTAGCTAACCACATGAAAACTACTTTATCTTGCACATATCCAAAGCAAAATACACTTATTTATATCTGTGACTCCACCTAATGTACACATGACTGTAAACTTAAAATTCTGCATACAGCTGTTGCTTCACAATTCTTAACCTAGTCATAAGTTTGACTAAGACACTCCAATATAGAAACTATATCATGCCAAAACGAGGCCATTTACATTAACAGATAAACTAATTGTTAAGTTTTTAAATATTGATGTCCATAGTGATGTCCATACAGAGGTAAAAGATATTGAGGAAACAGGAAAAATAAATGCACCAGCAGTGAACGCAGCTGCAATAAATCCTAGCAAACAGAAGTACAATCTATGTAAATACTATGCCTTGAGTATCTGCAGGCAGGGTATATCTGGTAAAACAGGTGGGACATGCACCTTTGACCATCCCAAAAAATGCCACACCCACATGACAACAGGAGAGTGCAGTTTCCCTTCTTGCAACTTATTTCACCCAGAAATGTGTCACTCATCACTCCATGAAAGAAAATGCTACAATACATACTGCCAGGCACATCTAAAGGGGACTAAAAGACACAGACCAGCCAGACTAGGGGAAACAAAAGAGAGGACCCACAACCTCTCCAGGGACAGGTTTTTTAGGGCCAGAAAGGAAAAAAGACTGGCAAGAAATGACAATAATCCTACACCAACTGAAAACACTTCTGGAGCAAAGGCACAGACATTGGCCTCTACCCCAGAACAACAGATATTAGAGCCAGCAAATAAAACCCCCCTAAATCCCACCAATACGACAATTGTCTTTGCAAACCTACAGGGTCTAAAGCCGTCAGAAAACAACAAAATTCCTTTCATCAAGGGACTGCTCACGGAGTCAAATGCAATGTTTGCAGCATTCACAGAGACCCACATAAAGGATCATTATGACAACGAAATATGGGTTCCAGGTTATAACCTATTCCGATGCGACAGACTAAACAGGCAACAAGGGGATGATGGCCTGTATGTCACAGAGTCATTCATTTGTACAGAACTACTAAACACCTCAAATGATGTAGTTGAAGTTTTGGTGGTAAAGATCGAAAATTAAAACCTTGTCATTGTGGTAGTATACAAGCCTCCAGATGCAACTTACCAGCAATTCCAGGAGCAGCTTGAGAAAATTGACCACTGTCTGGAAACTCTCTCAACTTCTGCCCCAAACATCTTACTACTGGGAGATTTCAACCTGAGACACCTAAAATGGAGGAGTATAGCAAACAATGTTTTAGTAGAGATCACCCCGGGAGGCAGCTCAGATGAAAATTCACATACACGAACTATTAAATCTCTGCAACAAATTCACCTTAAACCAGCAAATAGTAGAGCATACAAGACTAGAAAATACGCTGGACCTCATCTTCACTAACAATGATGATCTGATACGTAATATAACTGTATCAAAGACAATTCACTCAGATCACAACATAATAGAGGTACAGACATGCATGCACAGGGCTCCGGACCAGCAAAATGTGAGCAGTCATGAAGGTCTCTTCACGAAATTCAATTTCAATAACAAAAATATACAATGGGATCAAGTAAACCATGTCCTAAATGAAACAAGCTGGGAAAATATCCTAAACAACACGGATCCGAACATTTGTCTTGAAAAAATGAATTCTGTGGTTCTTGAGATCTGCTCAAGACACATTCTATTAAGAAAAAGAAAGAGAAGATGTAAACTAGAAAGAGAGAGACGTTCCCAGTACAGATGAAGGCGAAGAGTCACAGAGCTGCTGAGTGAAATACGAAGGGAGGTACTAGTCAGTGAAATTGCATATATCAAACTTAAGCTGAAGGAATATTAGAGAAGACAAGAATCACAGGAAGAACTAGAAGCCATAAAGGAAATTGAAAAAAAAAATACTTCTTCTCTTATGCCAAAAATATTAGCTCTCAGAATTATTCTGGGGTGTCCCAAATCTGCAAAGGTTCTTAATATGAGGAAGGAGCTTGGTATTTCTAGTATCAGTGATAGGATTGTTGAGATTAACACTGTACTCGGTATTAGAATGTTAAGAAATGAACCAGACGCTGTCACGATGAATCTTATCAATTGTCCGGAGGTAAATGCACACAGATCTAAATGGATTGTGAAAACGTGTAATTGCATTAAGTTTTATAACCTGCATGAACTGTATCACTCTAGGCAACAACAGCATTTCACCCCTCCATGGAAGATGTGTTCATTTAATATCACATACCTGCAAGTCCCTCCCAAGAAGCTCATTGCTAGTAATCCCTTCCTTAAATCATTTGTTAAAGCAACTGCTGAAGAAGAAATTTCTCTCCTAGCTGGTAGTAATAAGTTATCACAAGTTATATACACTGATGGATCTAAACAGGAGTCTTCTGGCAGGGCTGCATCTGCTCTTGTTGCCACCTCCCTAGTTAAGAACGATAGTAAATTTGTTGAGTTAGGCATCAGAATTAACAACTGGGTGTCTACACTGCAAACTGATTTGTTTGCAATCCTAATGGCGCTAAAGCCATAGATCTGTGTCTTCCTTTGTGGATGACACCCGGATCACCATGGCATTGACCTCCATCGAAGACACTGCGAGACTCCAAGCGGAGATCAACCAAATCTTCGAATGGGCCATTCAAAACAATATGAATTATTATTATTATTATACTCAAAAAGAAGCGCTAAGCCACAAGGACTATACAGCAAAACAATATGAAGCTCAACGAGGAAAAATTTCAACTACTCAGATATGGAAAACTTGAAGAAATTAAAAATGTGTCAGAGTATACTACAAATTCTAACCATACAATAGAGCGGAAAAGTAATGTGAAGGACCTGGGAGTGATAATGTCAGAGGATCTCGCCTTCAAAAACCACAACAATGTATACCTCATCCGCTAGGAAAATGGAAGGATGGATAATGAGAGCCTTCAAAACTAGGGACGCCAAGCCCATGATGATTCTCTTCAAATCGCTTGTGCTCTCTAGGCTGGAATACTGCTGTACGCTAACGGCCCCCTTCAAGGCTGACGACATTGCAGACCTGGAGAGTGTACAAAGAACTTTCACGGCACACATAAGTACGATAAGGCACCTAAACTACTGGGAACGGTTGAAGGTCCTTGATCTGTACTCCCTCGAACGCAGGCGAGAGAGAGTTTAGTTAGTTTAAAATTTTTATTATTCAAATTCAAATTCAAATTCAAAGTTTATTCTCTATAAGGATTACAATGCTGAGTTTACAGAAATTTGGTTATTGTTTGGTTTACATGTAGTAAAATTGTGATTACAGAGTGTACCACTAGAACGCTTAGCATGGCTAGGCATTTCGGGCATACTTAGTTTTATTCTTAATTGTAAAATATTACAAATTATGAGGTAAGTTGGTATTATGGCTAAGTGACTAAATACTAGTTTGTGAGTTTAGCAATGTGAATGCTTTTGTTTTGGCACAGTATATAGTTTCAGTATTGGAGTATCACAGGATTCATTATTTTAAGACTGAGATTAATATTTCTGTTTATGGTCAAATGAGTGAGCGAGTGTAAGTGTGAACCACCAGGTGGTATTCGTGTAGTTAGTTGACGGGGTGTATCAGGGAGATAAGATTATGCATCTCATACCCATGGTGTGGGTGGTAGTCAAAATATTACAGAGATACATAATGGGTCCAGGGACTGGACCCCAAAGTTATGATAGTTGAACTAGTTACAAAGATGATGAACTCCAGGTAGATCTGGTCACAATCATGACAAGTTACAAAGGTAATGAACATTTACACTCCTATACATGGTTACAGCCATGAACAAATTATAAAGTAATGAGCCATTCACACGTCCAGACCCGGTAATGAGGTATTAGTGTAAATATTAATTCCAGTCTCCAAAAAATTGTGCTGAGTGTTGGAGTATTCTCGCAGTACCTATGAGTGTGTACCGTATTGTAGTACCCATGAATGGGTACCCCATTGTAGTACCCATGAGTGTGTACCGTATTGTAGTACCCATGAGTGGGTACCCCACTGTAGTACCCATGAGTGGGTACCCTAATGTAGTGCCCATGAGTGTGTACCGTACTGCATTACCCATGAGTATGTACCGCAATGTAGTACCCATGAGTGGGTGCCTTATTGTAGTACCCATGAGTTTGTACCGTACTGCAGTACCCATGAGAGTGTACCGTATTGTAGGAGCTCATCACCGTTTATGACGAGGCTTACGATTGGTCACCCGTCAGACATAAGGACCAATCAACGAAACCGATATATTCACTGCCTTGGAAGCCATGTAAACAAGGCGGGATTCAGTAATATACTTTGCAATGAGTGTTTATTATGAAAACTCTGTGATTTAGATATTTGAGGTGAGTTTTAATGTTCATATTTTATAATACGTTAGCAAGTATCTCTGCTGTAGCACTGAATTATTTTGACATAACTTAAAACAAGAGGAATGATGTCATCAACTAGAATGTAAACTTGATGGTTCAAAGAATTTTTGTTTCAGTACCTTAAGTTTGCGTAATAAATGAGCTGCCGTCATGGGAGGTACCAATTATTTAGGTCCAATTCCTTGATCCAAGGAACTGGACTTAATCTGTCCTACCTTCGATTAGATCTGATTGTTTATATTATAAACTACCTTCATGGGCTGTATTACCCCTGCGGGTTTAGCGTTCTCTCCATGTGTTATAATAATAACTGAAATAAAAATGCATGACAGTCTTCATATTTCTAGAAAATAATATTGATTTACAAAAAAAAAAAAAAGTGAATTTTACACATGATCTCATTAGTTAATTTAGGTACATATATATGGAGCTCAAAGTAGGGGAAATGCTTGATTTTTGCCGATGTTCAGAAGTAAACAAATGATGTCATTGTCCAATAAATGTCCAACTAGCCATTCTAATATGCAGTCATGAATGGGTTGACATTTGTACAATTATTACAGTATTGCAGTAGTCTGCATAACAGTAAATCTCCTATTTTTTGTTTGAATAAAAATTCAAAATAGAAAGCAAGAGTAATATCAGAGGGGCCTGGAGACATGACTGATGAACAAAGAAAATGTTACTTTAGAGCCAGGAATGTCTGCATTGTTCATTCTGGACCTTATTTTGAAATTGTCATATTTTTTTAATTTTCGTGAAATTGGCCAAATTGCAAATTTCTGACCACGTTATTGGGTAGTTGAAATCAGTAAATGGGCAGTTTCTTGTACTCAATCGATAGAAAAAATGGAGTTCTAAATAAATAGCTATGAGTTTGGTCGACTGGAACAATGGAATTAGCCGAAAATAGGGCTCAAAGTGGGCGAAATCGCCAATTTTTAAATATCGCCGAGGTCGCTAACTTCGCGAGAGCATAATTCCATCAGTTTTCCATCATTTTTTTTTTTTGGTGTCATTACAATCGGTAAAAGATTCTCTATCATTTCATAATTTTTTTTTTTTTTTTTGAAATTTTGCGACACCAGGAGACATCTCAGGATTGGGAGTTGCAACAGTCAAGGGGTTAACAGTCTTGGGCCCTGGACACTTATTGTGTTGTCTCTCAGTGTACTTGTGGCACCCCTGCTTTTCATCGGGGGAATGTTGCATCTCCTGCCGAGTCTTTTCCTTTCATAAGGAGTGATTTTCGTGTGCAGGTTTAGTGCCAATCCCTCCAGGATTGCTTTACACTACAGTTATAAAACTGCAACATTAACACCCCAACTTCAGAGTACAGACACACTATTTCCCATCTCCAGGACTTGAGTCCGGCCTGCTGGTTTCCTTGAATCCCTTCATAAATGTTACCATGCTTACACTCCAACAGCACGACAAGTATTAAAAATCACTTGTCTCCATTCATTCTTATCAAATATGCTCACGCATGCTTGCTGGAAGTCCATGCCCCTCGCACACAGATTTATACACTCTTGAAGTCATTCTGTTTTATTCCATTCTCTCCACATGTCCAAACCACCTCAACAACCCCTCCTCAGCCCTCTGGATAATAGTTTTGGTAATCCCACACCTCCTAATTTCCAAACTACGAATTCTCTGCATTATATTCACACCACACATTGCCCTCAGACATAACATCTCCACTGCCTCCAACCTCCTCCTCGTTGCAACATTCATCACCCATGCTTCGCACCCATACAAGAGTGTTGGTACAACTATACTCTCATACATTCTCCTCTTTGCTTCCATGGACAATGTTCTTTGCCCCCACAGACTCCTAAGTGCACCACTTCCCTTTTTTCCCTCATCAATTCTATGATTCACCTCATCCTTCATATACCCATCTGCTGACACATCTATTCCTAAATCTCTGAATACATTCACCTCCTCCATACTCTCTCCCTCCAATCTGATATCCAATCTTTTGTCACCTAATCTTTTTGTTATCTTCATCACCTTACTCTTTCCTATACAGTGCAACCTCTACTTGCGAGTTTAAACCGTTCCATGACCTTGCTCGCAACTGGATTTGCTCGTTTGCAGAGTCAATTTTTCTCATTTAAATTAATTGAAATGCAATTAATCTATTCCAGTGGAATTCTGTACTTCAATAATTTCGCTAATATCAACACTACGGCTTATTTATCTATCTCACTTCATCTAATATGACATAATATACAATATAAATAACATAGAAACCTGATATATTCTCTAGAATGAATAAAATGTGTCATTCATGTAGTGGTATGGACGGTGTCGGCGGTGGACGAGAGTTTGTCTGGAGACCAGGCAAAATACTTCATGAATAATTTCACTAATATCATCTATACGGCTTATTTATCCATCAAATTTCATCTAATATGACATAACAGACAATATAAATAACATAGAAACGCGATATATACCCTAGAATGAATAAAATATGTCATTATGTAACAGGTGGAGGCGGCCACAACTGCTCCCTCTTTGTTGCCATCTAGGTACGGCCTTTTGAAGCCGTCTATTATTATAATTATTATATGTAGTACATTATTATATGTATTATTATTATACATATTATATTATTATGTTATTGTATTATACTATTATTATTATTATTATTATATGTATTGTTATTCATATTATTATTATACATATTATTATTATTATCGTTATTATTATTATTATTACTATTATTATTATTATTATTATTATTATTATTATTATTATTATTATTATTATTATTATTATTTTTATTATTATTATATAAATTACTTGTAATTTTTATTCACACAAAAAATATAAGATTTACTGTTATTCCTTATTGCAATAATTGTATAAATATGTCAGCCCATTCACGACTGCATATTGGAATGGACAGTGATGTCATTTGTTTACTCTGAAACAGCCAAGCAATGGACCATTTCCCCTAGGTTGAGCTCAATTTCAAGGCACTTTTCGTCATGAAAGCAATCAAAATCATATCTATTTCTGTAATATATCTTCCATTCTATCAAATGAGACCAAAAAAACGAGAATTCAACCATAAAAACCATTCGAAATTACCACTAAGGGGTGGCTAATTGCTGAGAAGTGAACTCCATTATTTATGCTTAGATTTCTTTCGTTTTTGGTGTACGTTAACCCTTTGAGGGTCGACAGGCCCTCTCTGAGACTCGTTCTCAGGGTCGGCCAAATTAAAAAAAAAAAAAAAAAAATTCTTATGAAAAGATAGAGAATCTTTTCCCGATCATAATGACACCAAAAGTATGAAATTTTATAGAAAACTTAGGGAATTATGCTCTCGCGAAGTTAGCGGTCTCGGCGATGTTTACTCATCGGCGAGTTTGCCCACTTTGAGCCCCATTTTTGGCCAATTCCACTGTACTGGTTGCCAAAAATACGAATATTTCGCTAGAACTCCATTTTTTTCTATCGAATGAGTGCAAGAAACCACCCGTTTACCAATTTCAACTATCCAGTACAGTGGTCAGAATTTAGCAATTTTGCCAATTTCACACAAATTTCAAAAGATGCCAATTTCTGAATATTGTCCAGAATAAACAAGAAAGACATTCCTGGCACTAAAATGACATTTCCTCTGTTCATTAGTCACGTCTCAAGGCCCCTCTTATATTCTTTTGCTTTCCACTTTGAATTTTTATTTTCACAAAAAATAGATTTACTGTTATGCAGACTACTGCATTAGTGTAAAAAAGATATAAATAATATTGATGCACTTGTGAAAGAATATTAGACTCTCCAGTTGACGTGTATTGGACGCTTGGCATGATTTGTTTACTTTTGAACTTTGGTAAAAATCGAACATTTCTGCTGCTTTGAGCTCAATTTCAAGGTACTTTTCATTGTAAAACCAGTCAAAATCCTCTCAATTTCTGTATTATGTCTTCCATTCTATAAAATGAGACCAAGAAAACTAGAATACAACAATAAATACCATACGAAAATACAGTGCAAAGTCGCTGTTTTCTTCCCAAAAAACGGTCAGTTTTTTTCTTCTCATTATGCACTGTGTGCTGCAGAATTTTTTTTATACTGCACACCAACCACATAGACCCATTCTTTCATTTGTAGGCCTACCAGCTTTCTCCCACTAGATTTGAGGGCGCTAGAATTTAGGCGTACTAGTATGTCAAAAACCCTGGTGCGTAAGCCGTACTAGTACGGCCAAAAGCCTCAAAGGGTTAAGAAGCATCTTTCCATCATACATTGCCCAAGTTTCAATAAGATAGTCCAACAAACAAATGAGATGCAATTCTTGAGATCAAGAGCAAGAGCCCCTCACCAGTGTCAAGGAACCTGCCTTGAGGTCTGCTCGCTTGTGGAAATATTGCTCACGTTTTTTTTTTTTTTTTTTTTTTATTATCACACCGGCCGATTCCCACCAAGGCAGGGTGGCCCGAAAAAGAAAAACTTTCACCATCATTCACTCCATCACTGTCTTGCCAGAAGGGTGCTTTACACTACAGTTTTTAAACTGCAACATTAACACCCCTCCTTCAGAGTGCAGGCACTGTACTTCCCATCTCCAGGACTCAAGTCCGGCCTGCCGGTTTCCCTGAATCCCTTCATAAATGTTACTTTGCTCACACTCCAACAGCACGTCAAGTATTAAAAACCATTTGTCTCCATTCACTCCTATCAAACACGCTCACGCATGCCTGCTGGAAGTCCAAGCCCCTCGCACACAAAACCTCCTTTACCCCCTCCCTCCAACCCTTCCTAGGCCGACCCCTACCCCGCCTTCCTTCCACTACAGACTGATACACTCTTGAAGTCATTCTGTTTCGCTCCATTCTCTCTACATGTCCGAACCACCTCAACAACCCTTCCTCAGCCCTCTGGACAACAGTTTTGGTAATCCCGCACCTCCTCCTAACTTCCAAACTACGAATTCTCTGCATTATATTCACACCACACATTGCCCTCAGACATGACATCTCCACTGCCTCCAGCCTTCTCCTCGCTGCAACATTCATCACCCACGCTTCACACCCATATAAGAGCGTTGGTAAAACTATACTCTCATACATTCCCCTCTTTGCCTCCAAGGACAAAGTTCTTTGTCTCCACAGACTCCTAAGTGCACCACTCACTCTTTTTCCCTCATCACGTATGGAAGCAAAAAATCGACCCATTGACTGCTCGTATTTGGAAAAACTCGCACATGGACATGCTCGCAAGTAGAGGTTCCACTGTATTCACTTTTAATTTTCTTCTTTTATCTACCCTACCAAATTCATCCACCAACCTCTGCAACTTCTCTTCAGAATCTTCTAAAAGCACCGTGTCATCAGCAAAGAGCAACTGTGACATTTCCCACTTTGTGTTTGATTCTTTATCTTTTAACTCCAACCTCTTGCCAAGACCCTCGCATTCACTACTCTTACAACCCCATTTATAAATATATTGAACAACCACAGTGACATTACACATCCTTGTCTAAGGCCTACTTTTACTGGGAAATAATCTCCCTCTCTCCTTCATACTCTAACCTGAGCCTCACTATCCTCATAAAAACTCTTCACTGCTTTCAGTAACCTACCTCCTATACCATACACCTGCAACATCTGCCACATTGCCTCCCTATCCACCCTGTCATATGCCTTTTCTAAATTTATAAATGCCACAAAAACCTCTTTACCCTTATCTAAATACTGTTCACCTATATGTTTCACTGTAAACACTTGATCTACACACCCACTACCTTTCCTAAAGCCTCCTTGTTCATCTGCTATCCTACTCTCTGTCTTACTCTTAATTCTTTCAATAATAACTCTACCATACACTTTACCAGGTATACTCAACAAGCATTTGTGTTTAGACAAAATTACTTTATGTTATTGTTGCTTTTTAAGAGGCTTACCATATTTTAAATGAACATTGACACTTCTAAAATTTTGTTAAAGCCATGCTATTTTGCAATGCTGTATTCTGTATTTGATTTTGTCACTGGCTGTATATAATTAAAAAACATCTGTTGCAGCTACTGGCCATATGTTATTTTTGCAGCAGACTTCTGAACATATTCAAGTGTATGTATACAGTACTTTACTTGCAGACAGACCATACAGTTGCCAGGAAAATGGATGAAACACAAGCACTAGACTGTACTCAAGCACTTGATGACTGGATTAATGAAGATGATGACTCAACCGAACATTCTTTAGTAAGTATATAATCCTTGAACTTTAAAATAATCTGTTCTATTTATTTGTATATCTATGGCACACTTAATATTTCCCATTAATTGTTTAATACAATGTAAAAATTTAATTTTAGGTTTTCATTCTTGCTTTAAAGGTTGCTTGGCTGGAGGTTGATGGAAGGCGTCATGACATACATCTTGGTGAAACAAAGATAGGTCGTGATCCAGAAACATGTCAAATTGTACTCCACAATAAGGTAATTATGGCCAAACTTTAAAATTAGTAATTTATTATTTAATTTTTTTAATATATTGGCTGTCTTCCACTGAGGCAGAGGTGACCCAAAAAAGAAAAAAAATAAAGTTTTTCTTTATACATTTAGTAATTTATACAGGAGAAGTAGTTACTAGCCTCTTGCTCCTGGCATCTTAGTCACCTCTTATGACATGCATGGCATACAGAGGAAGGATTTTTCTCCACTTCCCCATGGAGGATTACATTCGTATAGTTACTAAATATTACTATAAGTATTATCTTTAAGTTGGTTGGTTATTATTCAAGATTGAGCACTTAAATAAATTTACCAGTTCTTTCAAAATAAAATTGAAATAAGGCCTTGAGGAACCAGTAGGCCTAGTGCAGTGCTCCTTGAGTAGCACTGCTGTAGGCTTACTGGCCCCTTATTAGGCAGATCCTCTTCCAATCCATCCCCTTCTTACTCATATTCATCCTACCTTTTGTCAAAGCTATCTAACCCCAGGAAAATACACCCTCTACCTCCTATTCCTATTCCATAAATTTGATCTGAAAATGCCTCACTATAAGAACATTCTTACCCTCATTAGCAGTTTTTGTTGAGTCATTCTTGATAGCTGAATCTTATACATCCAGCAATGCAGCAAAGGAATTAGTAGTCTCAATATAGTTTCTTCAGTCTTCTTCATCTTTGGTTTTATTCGTTCCTCATAGATGAATTTCATTTTGTTGCAGCTAGTGTCCTCTTCCTTGTTCTGGGCATGAATTTTCTTGTTCCCTTTTCTAAGACACCATATTTTTCCTGCTTTCTCTACCTGAAGGTATAACTGTTCAGTACGTACTCAAGAAAGATATCGTAAACACTTCAATTGCATATATACTGAGAATTCTATAAGCATGCCTCTTCACAGGACACAGGTCAGCACCTTATTGACACAGGTTAGATCTTTACTGATGCATGTCAGCTCCTTACTGAAACAGGTCAGCTCCTTACTGAAACAGGTCAGCTCCCTGCTGACACAGGTCAGCTCCCTACTGACACAGGTCAGCCCCCTACTGACACAGGTCAGCTCATGACTGTACTCAGAAGTGTGCAGAGCACATAATTAGATAAAGAAATTAATTTTTTTTAATGCTCAGTTCTTACCATGTTTGTCAATTCACACAAATCCAAGAGTCCAACATGAGTGAGGTGTATAACCTGGTTCTGACGTAAGTGTCTTGCAGCACACAGTACATCTGAGGTTAGTATGCCACCACTGTCTCTACCATCACTAGTCATTGCCAAAGTTGACGTAATCAAATTATTTATACCAAAAAGATAACTAAAATTAAGAGAATGGTGCATGTGTGTATAATATGTTTATAATAGACACTACCCTTAGCAGTAGGTTGGTAGACAACAACTACCCAGGGAGGTACTACTGTCCTGCTAAGTAAATGTAAAATGGAAGCCTGTAATTATTTTACACGATTGTAGGATTGCTGGTGTCTTTTTTCTGTCTCATATACATGCAAGATTTCAGGTACATCTTGCTACTTCTCCTTATGCTTAGACACTACATGTACAAGCATATACAGTGGAACCTTGGCTTACGAGTTTAATCCATTCTGTGACCTTGCTCATATCCTGATCTGCTCGTATGCTGAGTCGATTTTCCTCATTTAAATTAATTGAAATGCAATTAATCCATTTCAGCGGAATTCCTGCTCTCAGGAGGCAGGAATGTGACACTAATATCAAATCTACTTATCTATCACAATTCATCTAATGACATAATAAATAATATTAGTAACATAGAAACATGACATACTCTAGAATGAATAAAATATGTCATTAAGTATGTAAGGAATTGTGGCGGTGGCAGTTTGTTAGGAGATAGGACGAGATAGTCCTTCCGTATTACACCAATATCAAATCAAATCAAAGTTTATTCTCTATAAGGATTACAATGCAGGGTTTACAGATTTTGGTTATTGTGTGGTATACATGTAGTAAAATACTAATTACAGAGGGGGCCACTAGAACACCTAGCATGGCTAGGCATTTCGGGCAAACTTAGATTAATTCTTAACCCTAAATTATAACAAATTGTGGATCAACTCTACAGCTTATTTATCTATTAAAATTCATCTAATATGACATAATAAACAATATTAATAACACAGAAACATGACATAGTGTAGAATGAATAAATATTCATTAACCCTTCCAGGGTTTCGGCCGTACTAGTACGGCTTACGCACAAGGGCTTTTGACGTACTATTTATTTATTATCACACTGGCCGATTCCCACCAAGGCAGGGTGGCCCGAAAAAGAAAAACTTTCACCATCATTCACTCCATCACTGTCTTGCCAGAAGGGTGCTTTACACTACAGTTTTTAAACTGCAACATTAACACCCCTCCTTTGACGTACTAGTATGCCTAAATTCTAGCACCCTCAAATCTAGTGAGAGAAAGCTGGTAGGCCTACATATGAAAGAATGGGTCTATGTGGTCAGTGTACGTGGTATAAAAAAAAATCCTGCAGCACACAGTGCGTAATGAGAAAAAAAAAACTTTGACCGTGTTTTTGGATTAAAATAGCGACTTTGCACTGTATTTTCGTATGGTATTTATTGTTGTATTCTAGTTTTCCTGGTCTTATTTTATAGAATGGAAGACATATTACAGAAATTGAGAGGATTTTGACTGGTTTTACAATGAAAAGTACCTTGAAATTGAGCTCAAAGAAGCAGAAATATTCGATTTCTACCAAAGTTCAAAAGTAAAGAAATCATGCTAAGCGTCCAATACACTTCAGCTGGTGAGTCTAATATTCTTTCACAAGTGCGCTGATGTTATTTATACCATTTCTACACTAATGCAGTAGTCTGCATAACAGTAAATCTTTTATTTTTTGTGAGAATAAAAATTCAAAGTGGAAAGCAAAAGAATGTAAGAGGGGCTTGGGGACGTGACTAATGAACAGAGAAATGTTATTTTAGTGCCAGGAATGTCTCTCTTGTTTATTCTGGACCCTATTTGGTAATTGGCATCTTTTGAAATTTGTGTGAAATTGGCAAAATTGCTAAATTCTGACCACTGTATTGGGTAGTTGAAATCGGTAAATCGGTGGTTTCTTGTACTCATTCGATAGAAAAAATGGAGTTCTAGTGAAATAGTTACGATTTTTGTTGACTAATAAGCTGGAATTGGCCGAAAATAGGGTTCAAAGTGGGCAAAATCGCCTATGCTTGAACATCGTTGAGACCGCTAACTTCGCGAGAGCATAATTCCGTAAGTTTTCCATCAAATATCATACTTTTGGTGTCATTATGATCAGGAAAAGATTCTCTATCTTTTCATAAGAAAAAATAATTTTTTTTTTTTTTTTGAAATTTGGGTGACCCTGAGAACAAGTCTGGGAGAGGGCCTGGGGACCCTGAAAGGGTTAATTATACGATATGTTACATAAAATTGTGCCGCAATTCTTCAATTGTGCAATACCCAAATTGTGCCAGATAAACTCGTGCTAAATGACAGTCTACTGTACTATAGTCAGTGGGAGAGTAAATGGCGGATGCTGCCACTATTGCCATCACTCGCCATATTATGGCCTGTTTTATTCATTCTAGAGTATATATCATATTTCTATGTTATTAATATTGTTTATTATGTCATGTTAGATGAATTATGATAGATAAATAAGTCGTAGAGTTGATATTAGCGAAATATTGAAGTATTTTGTCCTGCCTCTTGAGCAGGAATTCCACTGGAATGGATTAATGGCATATTAATCAGTTTAAATGAGGAACATTGACTCGGCATACAAGCAATCAGAACATTTAAGCAATCAGAATACGAGCAAGGTAACGGAACGGATTAAACTCGTAAGCCAAGGTTCCACTGTGCTTCAAGCATTTATAATAGCCATTTAAAACATTTTATTCTGAATAAAGAAAAGATCTAAAGGAAACTCCAACTTGATAATTTTGTTTTAATTTGCATAGCTCTTACTTATTACAGAAAATTGTAATTACTGTACAGTATAAAACGATGTACAGTAGACTGTCATTTAGCATGAGTTTATTTGGCACGATTCAGGTATAGCACGATTGAAGAATTGCGGCACAATTTTATGTAACAGGTCGTAAAATTAATTTAACACGGTTCAGTTTGCGGGAAGGAAAAAAAAAATTCCCTTCAAGCAGCTGGCTTGTTGTGGATCAGCGAGGTAGACCTCCCACCATCCCCTGCCACCCCCGACACCACCCCACCATCCCAGCATTCATACTTCATACGTGTCCAGTCCTACTTCTCTTCTACAAGCTAGCTGTGTTTGTGAATTGTTTTAATATTTTAATTACTATATCTTGTATCTGTCAAGCAATCACGACACCCAGTAGGCATTCCAGTGTTGCCGAAAGTGGCAAGAAAAGGTATAAGCATTTAAGTCTTAGAATTAACGAAGAAAAAGATATTAGACAAGAGATAACCATAATAGTGTTACTTTGTACACATAAAACGAGGTCAACATGAGTTTGTGTGACTGACTTACTGAATGACTACCTTACTGAATGACTGACTGGCTGAATGACTTGACTGACTGAATGACTTGACTGACTGAATGACTTAGACACTCCAGAACAACCATCAACTTCAGTACCAGAACCTCTACCATCCACCTCACCCCAGTAGGGCCACAGCATAACTCTCTACTCTCTTCACAATCATCCACAAACACCAGCACCCACAATTTAAGAAATATTATTTGTTACATTTGTAGTCTTAAGCAGTAAAAACAATATAATACATCACAACAGGGAACCACAATTACATATTCACTTTTATTTTTGTAAGATGTGGAGGCCTAAAAAAAAGTTTAGCTTTTTTTGGGCTCTCAGGGAAGTAACCCTATTTTTCCCATAAGTTCTTCAGTTCATCTAACATGGTTTTTACCTAACATGGCATTTTCAGGAACGTAACTACTGAGTTAAATGACGGTCTACTTTACC